GAAGTGCTGCTCTCTGTCACTAGACTGAAAAGAATATTAAAGCCAATGTGTTGGCTTTCCAAGATCCTTCTGCCAGCTTGTCCCTAGTAACAGTCACAGCAGCAATAAAACCTTAGAATCATAGGATCAACCAGGTTGGAAAAGACCTTTAAGACCATCAAATCCAACATTACCCCAGGACTGCCAAGTCCATCACTAAACCTTGTCACCTTGTTATCTATACATTAAACCCAAAGCACGAAGGATAAAAGTTCCTGCTGGATTAATTGTTATTAATCTGAGGCATTCAGTATTTTGTTGGCCATTTGAGAACTGAGGCCCCATTCAAAGCTCCTTTTGTCTTTAGTCTCAATAGCATCCTGGAATAGTGAGTTCGTCCACCTCAACACTGCAGATTTTGTTTGGACTGTGTTCCTTGTGATGGTGTCCTTTCATAGAATCACAGAATGGTTTGGGTTGGAAAGGACCTTAAGATCATCCAGTTCCAACCCCCTGCCATGGCCAGGGACACCTCACACTAGACCATGTCACCCAAGGCTCTGTCCAACCTGGCCTTGAACACTGCCAGGGATGGAGCATTCACAACTTCCCTGGGCAACCCATTCCAGTGCCTCAGCACCCTCACAGTAAAGAACTTCTTCCTTATCTCCAACCTGAGCTTCCCCTGTTTAAGTTTGAACCCGTCACCCCTTGTCCTACCACTACACTCCCAAGGAGAACTGTTGAACAGGTCAAAATGTACCCAAAACTTGAAAGTCAACAACTGGGAGCCAATGTGTTCAGGAGGCACAAACCGTACACTTTAAACTGTGCTCTACAAAGGCAGGTAACATCTTCTCTCTCCTCCTCAGGGGTACAAGATGGACGATCTCCTGACCTCGTACATCAGCCAGATGTTAACAGCCATGAGCAAACAGAGGAGTGCGAAGGGTAGCAAGTGAACTGCAAGAAGCCACTGGCACATGGCCATGCGGCTCATTCACCAGCTGAGGCCCGTGGGATACCCATGCAGCTGGGGCAGAACCTTTGCCTCCCAGATGTGGAAGATGAGCCGGACACCATCAGGGAGCTCGCTGGACTCTGACCTTGAGGGCTCCAATCCCACCTCCCCTTCCAGCGAAGACGATTATCTCTGACCTCCCTCCTTCTCCACCCTGCTCCCCAACACCATCTTGCACCTGAAAGCTTTCCAGGGGACACCACTGCTCTCAGACAGTGACCGAGCAAAGTCACTCGGGCAGGAGGTTTGCCTGAACCCAATGGTTGGCATCACAAATGCTCTTGAAAGAGGATTTTATCTCTGTGTGTGTGTGTGTGTGTGTGCATGTGGTTTGGTTTGGTTTTTCTCTTAAGTAAGAAAGAGCTATGGGGATGCTAACAGCTTTTTGGTGAGGTTTTGGGCATTTCAGGCTCGATGAGCCCCAAACCATGCTGGAAAGATGCCCAGTGAACACTGCAGGGCTTGGATTTGGATGTTACAAGTGAATACGTTGTGCTGTTATGAAGGACAGGAAGAAAAAGCAGGGGGGAACGTTTTAACTAGGAATCAGAATAAACCACCTACTGATGGAACAGGCTAAAGTGCTGTCTGTGCAATGCTGGAGATATTTAAAGAACAGATTTTAAAGTGTTGTTTCTTCTTCTATTTATTTTTTAAGATATTAAAAAGGAAAAAAAAAAAAGAAATGAAATCCTGCATTTTGTGCTGGTATCTGGACACTGACTCGGGGCTGAGGGCGACCTGCAGGACAATGTCTCGCCCAGGGATTCCCCCAGAGCCATGATCACCAGAGGATAAGGCACATCATTCCCAGCTTCTGGAATCAGCTGGAAGTGAAGCTTGGAAGATGAATTATCACCTATGCCCAGACAAATTAACCCTGGGAGGATGTTTACTACAAGCTTCAATATGGATATAGGGGTTTTGAAGGCCCCGTGCTTGGAAGACTTGAGGCTAAGCCTGTGTTGAGCTGTAATTCAAACATGGACTTGGCCATTGGGGATGGAAACAGTTTATGATTCTATTATGCTTTTGTGTGTGGTGTTGTGTAAAATGGCTCTCAGCTGGACCTGAACCACTCCCAGTGAGGGCAGACCCTTGATTTTGGTGGGCTTTTCTCCATCTTTGCCTGGCTGTACTAATCCGCTGTTTAGAAGATGGTTGGAAGATGTTGAAAGATGGTTGTCCCATCTTCCACCCAACACCATGCAGCATGGACCAGCCTGCTTTGGAGCAGAGATGGGACCTGACAGGAGGAAGGATGCTGAAGCCATGCTGTGTCTGTGGGGATGTAGGGGAAAGAGACTGGGGTGCCTTTCCAAAGCCAGGCTTGAAAGGAACATGTGCTCGGGTGTGGGGCATCAGGAGGGTTGACAATTGTCCACCAAGATCTGGTGCCGGCATCACTGACACTGAGTGGATCTCAGTAGATGTGGGAAACCTCTCCTGGTCCCAGGTATTGGACTGAGCTTGGGTGCTTTCATGGAAGTCCATACTGTGGGGTGTGTTGTTCTGTTGAGCTCTTCTGGATGCCAGAGAGGGACTCTTCATCAGAGACTGTAGCAATAGGCCAAGGGGAATGGCTTTAACCTGCCAGAGGGGAGACTGAGCTGAGCTCTTAGGCAGAAGCTCTTCCCTGTGAGGGTGCTGAGGCACTGGCACAGGGTGCCCAGAGAAGCTGTGGCTGCCCCATCCCTGGCAGTGTTCAAGGCCAGGTTGGACACAGGGGCTTGGAGCAAGCTGCTCTGGTGGAAGGGGTCCCTGCCCATGGCAGGGGGTTGGAACTGGATGAGCTTTAAGGTCCCTTCCAACCCAAACCAGTCTGGGATTCTATGATCTGTCCTCTAAAACCATGGTGTGCCAGGCAGAGTCAGCAGCACTGCTTCCCAGACCTCAAGTCCTGTAACATCTGACTGGGATGAAGCAGTGATTTGGACTGTGGTTGCTCCACCAAAGAGAATGAGATGCTACACATCTACCAGTGCTGCTGGGAGATCGCCTTCCTCCATCATCCCCTACACGGTACTCTGGTGATGGGAACACGGTTACACCAGCCAAGGCTACACTGGGAGCCAAGCTGCCTTCTCACCACCCATCTCTGATGCTTCTCTCCCCTCTCCAGCTGCCATGATCCAGCTGTGCCAGGGATCCTTAGATGTGTGCCCATCATCACCTCCACTGCCACCACTGCTTCCTTTAAGTCTCCCACAGCACACTCAGTAGATTATGCAGCACAGCAACGTTCTCCAATGCTGTCCTGGGCCAGCTTTCCCCCACCATCATCTTCATCCCTCTGCTTACAGCTCTGTTGGCCTCCCATGTACCCCATTGTTTTGAGGGGTGCTGGAACTCTGTGTGCGTGTGCCTGTGTGTCATATGTATTAGCATCTGCTGGCCTCGTTGTATCCACACCAAGCGATGTAACATGGAAAACATATGTCCAAGTGAACTGCTCTAATTAAAAAGCATCAAGTGGCTTGTGGGAGGCTGTTCTGTGTGGTTGTGGTGGTGGTATAGGAAAGGGTGGGCTCAGGACTTCCAGGTCCTCACTGAGCACATCTCCTTGCAGAGTGGGGTTTCTGGTGAGAGTATCCAACAATGGGGAGCAAATCAGTGGGTCTGGACTGGAAGTGTGGGGAGATACCACTGTGTATGGGCCAAGCAGCAGATAGATACATGGATGAAGACACAGTGAGGTGGCTTTTCCAAATACATATTAACAGCAGTGGTTGGGGGACCACAGCCAAGTCCTTCACCTGGCTGAGGACTCCATGGTAGACACCACTGCTCAACTCACACACTCTCCACCTCCTATTTTGCTGCTCATGGACCTCCACATGAATGGTACCCAAAAAAATGATGAATCAGCTATGAACACGGTGCATGGGGAGGTGGTAAAACCATCAGTAGCATCCTTTCCCCATGCTGCTTAGATCTGGACCTGTTCTGCACCAATCCACCAGCCCTTTGGCCCGTTTTCCAAAGGATGATTCAGCCTTTTTGCATTTACAGCCTCCAAAATACACCAAAGTTGCAACTTGGAAAGGTTTGCGTGCTTCTCAGCACAGTTAACTCTGAAAGCTAATGCTTCCCTGTCACAATTCACTTGTGATAGCTTTATTTAGTAAAACCACCGAGCTGCATAAGGCTCATATATGAGAAAATGTCTATAGCCTGATGCAGGTAAAGATGACTATTTTCTTCTTCTTTCCCACTTTGCCAAAATAAGAACACAACAGAACAGGAAGGCTAAAACATATTTAAAACAGCATGTAAAACTTACAAAAACGTGTTCTTCTTATCTGTTCAAGTAGAAATTCATGGCTTAAACCTGGGAGATGCTCACACCTCCCTTGCAGAGCAAGGCATAGACCCCTCTCCATGCTGTGTGCCAGTAGCCACGGGGAGAAATGAAAACAGGAATCGATCCCAGGGTGCAGCACAGGTTATATAGACCTTCCCAATGGAAAAGCAAACAGGACACTTGGTGGGACCAATTCACGTGCAGCTCAAGTCTTCTGAATAAAAGAAGTGGTGTATTTTTGGTTATAGTCCCAGTAGCTACATGGCCAAGGCACCAAAAAGTCCTTCAGCACCCATGGAGACATATGCCCTTGGCCACAGCCAAGGGGAAGAGGCTGTCCTGTTAGAGTCTGTGGCAGGGCAAGAGTGGAGAAGAGGAAAACCTAAGTGCCCCTGTCTGTGTTAAAGAAAGGAATGGATCTTAGTGACTCAGCCAGAAGCACTTGACCATCGTGGTGGGGCTTAGTGTCCCCTCAGGGATGGAGAAGACCTGCAAGGAAGGAGGGAGGGAATGTGAGGAGAAGAGGTTGGTCTAACCCGGAGGAGGACTGGATGATGCCCAGATGTTGCAGCCCATCTGCAGCACAGAGCTGTGCTGACAGAGGGCTTGCTTATGCACAGCAGGAGGGATTACAGGACTGTGGGATGCAAACGGGCTCAGAGGTAAATGGTGGCTCCCATGTGGGTGCTGCATCCCGTCACAGTGCACAGCTTCTTCATGGCTGTAACTCTGTGTTCCCCTCCATCCCAGGCACGGATTGCAAGAACAGCTATAGGAGAGGAAGCTTGGTGCTCATGTTCAGCAGTCACAAAGGCAAATGGCTCCTTGTCACCAGGGATATGGGCCCCCCTTGGCAGGTCAATGTTTGCATTGCAGGAAGGGCATGGTCTGCTCTCCAGTCCTCATCAAGGTGGCAGGTCCACATCCCTCCCCTGCTTGCTGTCAGACAGTGACATTAGGCATGTTGTTGAGCTCTAGAAAAGAGGACACACAGGGAGCTGCTGAAACATCTGCAGTTGTTTTACCAGCCATTGACAGCAAACAGAACCTGGCTGAAAATGTGAACAGCCCAGGCTGGGTCATTTTGTGTGGATGATGGCTCCATGGGTGCAGAAACCTGGTGCAATCCCAGCCAATCCCACCCAAGAGTGCAGATCCACGAGCACTCAGTACCTCTCGTCACAGCATCACAGAGTGATGCATATTGGAGGTGACATCTGGATGCCTCTGCTCCAATCTCTGCTTGGAGCACGGGCAATTAGATAGGACTGCTCAGGGCTTTGAGCAGCTCTGAGGGTGGATATTCCCCACTGTCTGGTCCCTGTTTCAGTGTCTAATCACCCTCATGGGGAAGACTTTCTTTTTTCTCTTTATATCTAGCCACATTTTCCAAGGTTGCTTGTGGTGTGGTCACTACACAACCAAGAAACCTCTGGGTCCATCTTCTCTACACCCACCCATTAGATGGTTGGAACTGGATGATCTTAAGGCCCTTCCAACCCTATGATTCTATGGCTGAAGACAGTGATGCCCCTTGATTTTCCCTCCCACTGTGCAAACCCAGATCTCAAATGCCCCATCCTCCAGCTTAGTGGCCCCATTGAGTTCACTCCCATTTATCACAATCTCCTTGGTACTGAGGAGCCTGAACTGGACCCAGTGCCTAGATGTGGTCTCACCAGTGCTGAACAGAGGAAAGAAATCACTGCCACCTGCACTGAGACTGAAACAACCCAGGATGCACCCATCCTTCCCCACAGCACGGACACCCATCACCACCCCATCCATCAGGATGTCCATGCAACCATCAGGGGATCTCCTTGCCCTGCTCACCTGTCTTGAACTTGTTGTAGGTGCCATTCTCCAGCATCAGGTCATCGTCTTTGGCACAGCAGGAGAAACTCCGCTCACGCCACCTGCATGGGGCAAAGAACCTGGGTCAGGCCAATGCTTGCTGTGGTTCCCCTCCCACCTCCTTGATGCCATGGATGCCTGCTTCTACTTTGTCAGGGCAGGATATGCCCTGGTATACTGGGGTTTGCTCAGGTCCTTTCAGAGAGGGGACTCCAGTGATGACTGATGTCTAAGCATCTGCACTTCACATTTTGAAGGCAACTTTGTGGCTAAACCTTGTTCTGTAAAAAATACTGAAGAGTTTAAAAACCCAAGAAATGTTTGTGGTTTTGATGAAGAGAAGCTGCGTGGAGACCTCAGAGCAGCTTCCAGTGTCTGAAGGGGGCTACAAGGATGCTGGGGAGGGACTCTTCATCAGGGACTGGAGTGATAGGACAAGGGTGAATGGGCTTTATGTGCCAGAGGGGAGATTTAGGTTGGCTATAAGGAAGAAGTTCGTTACTTCTTAGAGTGCTGAGGCGCTGGCACAGGGTGCCCAGAGAAGCTGTGGCTGCCCCATCCCTGGCAGTGTTCAAGGCCAGGTTGGACACAGGGGCTTGGAGCAAGCTGCTCTAGTGGAAGGGGTCCCTGCCCGTGGCAGGGGTTGGAACTGGATGAGCTTTAAGGTCCCTTCCAACCCAAACCATTCCATGACTTTATGATGTGTTCATAAACCTGACAAACAGGATTGTGCAGGCTCCTCAGGCACTGCTGATGGTCCTTCAGTCCCAGCAGGGCTGGGAATGCCCCTGCTGCAATTCCAGCCCAGAAAAGAGGCTTCTGCGGGGCCCTTGGAATTGCACACACCACATGAACATGAGCCTAGAGGAGACAGGCACAGGAAGGTCAGACCGTGGTGGTGTGAACCATCCTGCAGCCTGGAAAGCAAGGTGAAAGCTTTCCTCCTAAGTCAGCCCAATGCAACAATGTCTAAATAGTAATACTAGAAAAATCAGCTCCTTTCTCAGCCCATCGGCTTTGGTAACTGGTTTATGATGCTGCCATAAATCAACAAGGTCTCCATTGAACCCTGAGGGTAAGGAATGGCTGAGCTTTCAAAATGGAACGGGAAAATGAGAGCAAGCAGGAGAAGCAGAGAGGTTTTGGGAGACTTTCAGGGTTTTCTTCTAGTTCCTGAAGGGAAAAGTCATGTTCTCAAGAGTAGTTTTAACCCTTCGGATCACCTGAAAGCATCCCTCTTTCCCTCTACCCGGAGCAAAGGATCAGGTTAAGATGGCCATTAGCAACTTGGTAGTTACCAGTGCAGAGCAAAGATGAGCGAGATGAGGAGCATAGAGGTCAGATCTGTCAGGATCCACATGATGTTGTACTGCTTCGGAGTCTGGAAGAGAACAACAGAGGATGGGTCCAGCAACAACAACCCCAAGGTATGCAAAAAAAGTTGATAAAGCTCTTTCTTGCTGCTTGAATATGGAAGTGTTCAAGGCCAGGTTGGACAGGGCTTGGAGCGACCTAGTGGAAGGTGGTTGGAACTGGATGAGTTTTAAGTTCCCTTACAACACAAACCATTCCATGATTCCATGAATCTATGCCTATGGCCGTTCAGATGCTTGGTTTGCATGTGCAGTAACATCCCTCAGGTGTTTAAACTATTTGGTGGCAGTTCAAAGCAGCTGCTCACTGATGGGTGTTGGTGCCAAAGCATCACCCTTCCTAAAGACCTGTGGTGTGGCCAAGTAGGTTGAACCACATCACAGTGAATGTAACAGGGACCTCCCATTTGTATAGGCAGTAGTTTTCTCTGCTTCTCTCCAACACCAACATCAGCTGGGGTTGATGTGCAAAACTGTTGTTAAGAGGCCACATGAAGTGTATGGGGTGGCTCCTGCTTTAAGTCTAAAAGCATTTAAGCTTTATCCTGAGACTCGACCTTCACCCTCCCTTAGAATGGACTGAAACACTGCAGTTGTCTGGATGGGAGCATCATAAAATCTACTTCAAGAGTGTAAAGTATTATTCAAACTAATAGCCTTAAGGCTGGGGGGACCTTGGTGGGACCCAGGTGATGCTTAGCCCTGCAAGTTGTCCAAGGCAGAATAGGGAATAGACAACTTATGTGGAAAATAATTACTCAGGGCAAGGAAGGGCTGTTTTTATGGTTGTTTCCCTTGGGCTTGTGGAACTAGACCAGGTTTGAGAAGGGGAGTGGGAAGCCCTGGGAAATTAGGAGCTTCTGACATACATAAAGTGCTTCAAAGGCTTAGAAATGGAAATCCTTGCATATTTGTGCCCCCAAATGCCCTTCCTTTCTTCACACACATCTCAATATGACTTCTTTTCCCTCATCTCAAGGCCTAAGTTGCAAATCCTAACAGGCAGGATGCTTCTACCTCAGCAAAGTGCAAAGAGGAGAAGGGTACGGTGATACATGGAGTGGGTCAAAGGCTGCAGGTAAGCCAGGTTTCTACTCAGGTCCTTTTCATGCATAGGGTCCTTTATCCAGGCATGAACTGGCCCATGGTCTCCAAAGGTAACCATGAACATCCCAACCCTACTTCCTACCCCTGGGACAGGGAATATTTTCACTTACCATGAGGAAGAGTGGCTGGTTGAGATTCTTCAGTATATGGACAGCATTGGTGGTCACAGAGTGTGCTCCAGAGCACCACGCCAGGGAGAAAAGCCATGGCTCACTGATCACATAGAAGTTGGTGGTGATGTTTGCTTCAGCGTATTTCCTTTAAAACAAAGACCAAAGGGCAACACATTTGTGCATTGGTTTACATACACAATACCTTTTGACATGCTTTAGTGGTGGACTTGGCAGTCCTGAGGTAACAGTTGGGTTTGATGATCTTGAAGGTCTTTTCCAACCCAGCTGATTCTATGAATAGCCTTGGTTAAGCAAGGTTAGTGCTTCCTTTGGGCTCAGTCAAGGAGAGACAGCAATGTTCTGTAAGAAAGGTTTGCTTTAGGACCTAGGTAAGGAACAGAATAGAAAGCTAACCAGCCTATGGTTAGTTACTCACTATTGGCCAATACACAATTGCTGATCTGCTGGAAGCCAACACAAGTCAAATATCCAAAAGGTCAAAACTTTGCTTATCCTTCCGCCGTATCAATCCATGTAATGGTGTGTTTGTGATCCCCCAAGAGTGTGTTCAAAACTACCTCAAAGCTGACTGCTCATGCTTGCTGCATCAACTCATCCTTTCTCAAGTTCTTATAAGGTATTGAAACTTACTATGAAGTAAGAACAGGCTCTGCATAATGGTAATGTGGCATGGGTATCAGTGTTTGTAAATGTACCTAGGATCTATCCAGGGTTTACCCGAAAGGATCTACCTGGGATTTCATATCCTGTGAATATTACCATTGAGGAAACACCAACATTAATTTCATCAAAAGGATTGAAACTTTTTTATTCTTTTGGGGGTTTTAGTTAGATTTCAATGTGTTTGTGCACTGGAAAGAGCAAAAAAAACTATTTACAAATAGAAGGCTGGACATATAAGTCTGTTGCTTCTTTTTTCTTTCATATGAGAGGACCTTTTGGGAAACTCCCACAATGAACGTGGAGCCTTCCACTGGAGAGATGATATTTTCAGTGTATCACTAGCAACAGAGTATTGGTAGTAACAGAAACAAGAACTGAACTCTCCACAACACCAGCTACAAGAGGGTGATGGACTCTCACCAGTGTTATGTGCTTACACTGACGTCTGTGGAAGAGCCACCATGGGAAGTTAAATAGTTGTTCAATCTCCGTGATTCAGTGCTGGTGGGACTGAGGATGGCACGGATAGAAAGAGAAGACATCAGAAGCCAGCTGTGGTGTTCTACCTAGAAGATCTTCAGGTCTCAGTCATGTAAATATGGACTTAGGGCAGGGGAGGTGTAATTGCATATGTCACCTCTTGGCCATACATAGGGTCAACAGTCCTTCACTCAAAGGAAAGACAGTCCTTCACTCCCAAAATGCCATCACAGGGATGAACATCTGATCTAAAGGGGTTCTTCCTAAAATGCTATAGATCCTGAGGCTGGTCACTGGAGGGAGACATTGCCACACACATGAGGCAAGCATAGTCCAGATGCAGTTCAACTGTACTTGGGGGTGAAATTGCAACCTACCGGATATCTTCACTGGACATTTCCTTGTAGGCCAGATTGAGTTTGACAATATTGCTCATCAATAGGTCTTCGACTGGGGCCTTTTTGCCACTTGTCTGCTGAAACCCAGGAGCAACAGAGTGAACAAAGGACCTCATGCTGTTCTCCAGCCATAGGACCTGCAGGCAGCAAGAGGATACTGAATTCACAGCAGACATACTAAAATGCCCTGCCTTTGATATAAACCCAGTAGAGATAATATCCTGAGGGGCTTAACCCAGCCTCTCAAATGACATGGTTCTTTCAGGGATCAAAGGATATTTGGATGCAGGCTTAAAACTTGCAAGTGACTTTCATCAAGCAATAAGTATTCACTGTTCCTTGCTTATCATCTTGAAATCAGTGGGTTCATTGCACACAGCCCAACAAAAGATGTGGTGTTTGAAATGGATGAAAAGACAGCTTGGGTTTATGGGAAAGGCAATGGAAAATATTCCCCTGTTCTTCCAGCATAGGAGAAAAGGCTTCAGCAGATGCAGATCAAAGTAACAACCCAGACATTGATGGGTACATAACCTGACCCACATGAGTTTAGCATTCATCCATTGCTGGAGGAAGGCAATGAAGGCTTCAAACTCCATGTTATTTCAATTTAAGTCAGGAATAAGGCAATGAAAGCTCCAAACTCCATGTATCTCCATTTAAGCCAGGAGTAAGGCAATGAAAGCTCCCAAACTCCATGTATCATCTCCATTTAAGCTGGGACTTTTTATGCAATATATAAAATAAGCATAGGTAGCAGGATGTAGGCTGCCAGTTATTACATGATGAAACGATGTCATCTGGGAGCTAAGGCATCAGCTGGTATATACACTAACTTATTTCTCTGCTGCTATAGGGTTAACACCATTTCGTACCTGCTGAGAAACCAATCGTAGGAATAGAGTCCAAATGATACCTCTTAAAACAAGGGAAATACAAGGACTTTATGCAGGCAAAATCATGTAGGGAATGACCCCAAAGTTCCAACTTGGAGAGCAAGGAAAATGGATGCGGTGGAGTGAAGCCACCTTACCAGATGAGGTCTAATCCCTGACTCAGAGATGACTTCCAGTGTTCTGTTGACCCAGGAGTCCCTGTAAGGATGTTTATCTGGAGGGCGGTAGAGGTCGAATATCACATATTTATTGTGACGCTCGGCGAGGCGCAAGAAATCACTCAGTTTGTAAATTGTCTGGTTCATTGCCCAGTTTTGGTCTGCCTTTGACAGTAAGCGGATGGATGAGAATGGTTTGTCCTAGAAATAAAGAGATGTAAAGAAAGGAAATCAATCAGGCTGCTGCCTGTGGGAGTTGGCTGGATCCAAAAAACTCCTGTCTCTAAGAAGGAAAAAGTTTGGCATTGGCCCTTAGCCATAACGATGTTTTGCTTTGGTTAGCTCTTCTACCTGAGAAACAGGGGAAATCCATTGAACCCCAGACTGGTTTGGGTTGGAAGGGACCTTAAAGCTCATCCAGTTCCAACCCTGCCACGGGCAGGGACCCCTTCCACTAGAGCAGCTTGCTCCAAGCCCCTGTGTCCAACCTGGCCTTGAACACTGCCAGGGATGGGGCAGCCACAGCTTCTCTGGGCACCCTGTGCCAGCGCCTCAGCACCCTCACAGGGAAGAGCTTCTGCCTAAGAGCTCAGCTCAGTCTCCCCTCGGGCAGGTTAAAGCCATTCCCCTTGGCCTGTCCCTACAGGTCCTTGTCCAAAGCCCCTCTCCATGTTTCTTGCAGCTCCTTTAGGCACTGGGAGCTGTGACAACAGCTGTGATGACACCCATCACTTCTTCTGAGACCCAAATTGCGTAGTTCTCAGCTAACTCTGCTGCGCTTCTCAGTCCTACTGTGTCAGCTGTGGCTCTCATACACAGCACCTTGCACAAGGAGTTCTTGTCTTCTTTGCCCAGCCCATGTGTTCTGCTGCTGCCATGATAAGGAGCTACAAGGACACCCACCAACCAACTGTTAGGGGTCTCCTAAATCCTAAAGGCCAACTGGACAAACCAAAGAGACACAAAGGATTCCTACTGACTTCTTCAAGCTCTGGCTCAACCAGTAGTTCCTCTCTCAGCATTCATGCTATTAAGTAGTAACCAGCTGGTGTCTCTTCCACATCCAGTTGATGATAGTCCTTTGTGGTGCTTACCTTAAGGAACCACTTCCCAGCATTCAACTTCTGCAAGGTATCCCAAGAGAAGAACGCAGCATTTTCAGTAACGTCATTGGGGTAGACCTCCTTGATGTTAGTTGTCCTCCTCAAGTTTTTATCATGCATGAGGAAAGGAACCCCATCATAGCTGTTGGGGAGCAAGAGTTCAGGTCACCTGCGGTGCGGGTTTATCATGGTATGAGCACTACAGCCTCCCTTGGTGCATAGGGTTGGATAGGGAGGAAGGCTCAGGACACCAGGTTATTTCTAACTTAAATACTACTGGGTGACCTTGGGGAAGCCATGACTGTCTGTGCATCAGTTTCCTTAGGGCAAAGAGGAGATGGTGGCATTTATGTCTGCCAGCCCTCCAAAAACTGGATAATAACTTCTGGTTGAAATCTCTATTTGCTGACATCAAAGTGCTTCTATGGGTTCTGGGGGACTGAAGTCTCAATGGACAGTGATGGAAAGAAAGCAGACCGTCTCTATAAGATGATTAATGCTCCATACCTGGCAGTGTTCAAGGCCAGGTTGGACAGAGCCTTGGGTGCCATGGTTTAGTGTGAGGTGTCCCTGCCCATGGGAGAGGGTTGGAACTGAATGATCTTAAGGTCTTTTCCAACCCAAACCATTCTATGATTCTGTGGAATTAGTAGACCTTTCTGTAAGACTTCTCTTATAGGAAGGTCCACATCAGCAGAACACCTAAAGGTTAGTATTTTCCTCATTCAATGCCTGGAAACTGCTCACCCATAAAAGCATGTTAGCAGTTCATGGCAATATGTCCCCCAAACAAATGCAATTATAGGTCTAATCATTAGGACAATGCTGTCACAAGTCCCAACACAACTTTCTGTTGGTTTGTAGGCCTGATACAACCCTCACTGTGACCTGGAAGTCAACTAGGGTAGGAGCTTGTCTTTATACTCTGCAAAGCATCTAAAATACACTGTAGAAATAATGATGATTAAAATCAATAGTTACAGCTTATTGACTTGCCTGAGAACAACCATGCCCTACAGCCCCAATCATCACACACCAACATGAGGCACCCTGTCTCAGCCATCAGTAAAACCTAATTGTCTTCAGTTGCATGTCTCCAAAGGCAACTGTTAGTAGAAGAATTATAGAATGGTTTGGGTTGGAAGGGGCCTTAGAGATCATCTTGTTCCAGCCCCCAAGAAGCGTGTATTCAGTGAGATGTGATCTTTTCCCCTTACCTGATGGTAACATCAGTTTCAAGACCAGCCCCACCGTGTTCAATTGTCTTCTGAAATGACATCTCGGTGTTTTCTGGTGCCAGCTAGAAACAAACCAAAAGCACATGAGCAGATCCTTTCCAAACACACCCGGGAGGGCTCTGTAAGTACTTGCTGTCTCCTTGTATCACCTCCAGTTTTTATTAAGGGAACATCATTATCTTGTTAAAGTCTACTGTCTTCTCCCACTTTAGCCACCAAACCCATCCAGTCCATCAGGAGCAGTGTTATCCTTGTTAGGAGCCCCATGCAGTGAAGCCTTCTGCATGCAGTTCCAACCGGGAATGTCTCCCCTTCCACCCTCCACAGATTTCGTGGGATGAAAACAGAAGATGATGATGATGGATGAAGAAATGACGTAAAATAACTTCTCCAGACCTACCATTGGTGCTCCACGGTGTCCAATGAGGTCTGGCTTTGGTCCAAGAGTCCCCATCTGCCTGATGCAAGGCGAGTACATCCCCAGAGGTATCAAGAAAAGAAAGAGAAGGATAGCCAGGTATGGACCAACAATTATCACCTGAATAACTGAAAGAATTTGAAGGAGGAAGGCTAGAGTTAATCCATGCAGTAGCATACAGGTTTGCCTTGACTTTCAATTCAGCCTTGCAGCTCAGTAGCTGTTGGGCTTTGCCACATCCCTTTTTCCATCCCTTCTTCCCACTAATATTCACTTTCTCTCCAATGCAACCAGAAAACTAACTGGTCAAAGCAAGGACATGGGCTAAGTCAGGACTGCAGGGTTTGTGCTTTAATTACATCTCACTGTGCCTTACAGCAAGGCATGGCTCTACTTTCCTTTTCTTTAGAGATGGTGCAATGAAATATCCCCCATCTGCAGAAAAACAACCTTCTAGAGAAGGATGCTTTGGTTTTTATCTTACTTAGATAAGAACAAGCAAGATTTTGCAGTTTCACTCACAATGAAGAAGAAAAGCCCCAGGGAGCATTCACCTTGAGGAACAAAACAGCTCCTCTATGAAATGAGCATCTATGCATCAACATCTTTCTTGAACAGGTACCACCACCCCTCTGTGCATTGCACCAGTGGCTCTGAAGGAACCTGGACTTACATCAAGCTGATGTATTGAGCTAGGAGTCCATTAGACATGGTGGAATGCAATGTCTGGGGTCCCAGTATATTCTCCCCAGAAAAACCATGGACGAGCAAAACCCCTGTTTTCACCACCCCATGCTGTGATTTTTGTTACAGATCAACATCTGCAGATAGGTGTCATGTAGATATTTTTGGCTATATGAGCCTAGCTCAGAGAAGAACAGCCAGTCCCAGGGCCAGGCTCTTCTGCAGTTGTTCCTGGCATCTCACCTTGCCTTTAAGCTACTTGGTCCCATTTGTTGGAGGTAGATATGAACTCCCCATGAGGTAACACTAGGAACTGATCGAAAAGCTCTTTCCCCTGTCTCAGCTGGCTTCTCCTGAGATGCACTGGTCTGAAGTGGATTCACTGGACTGCAGATCCCTTCTGAGATATCAAAACTGAGTACAGCAAGCAAAGATCAGGCTGAACAAACCTCCGTGCATGACTCAGAACATGGGCATTTCTGCTAATCCCCTTCATCTCAAGGCAGGTCACTGTGCAGTGGGGCATGCAAACCAGTAACACACAGGACAGTGCACAGACCAAGCCCCACTAATTTCCCTGGATACACAGACATCCAAAGTCTCCTGCATATCTGTTTTCCCACACTGATATATGCCTTTTGTCATACAGAGAGCAGGAAGAAGAGCTACTGTACCTTTCCTATCTGCTCTGATGGCATGAAAAGCCACAGGCCAGGACAGCAGGACCATGATGGCTATTGCTCCTACGTGGAGGTAGGGAGCTGTGATCTGGCAAGGAGAGAAAAGGAATTTATTTAAAGGATATGGAAACAAGCTCCAACGTGGTGAAATCTTTCCACCTGGATGGGTTCCTGATGCAGATCACCAGCAGTTCAACCTCTCTCCTGCACCTGCATTGGATCCATCAAACACCTCTGGAGTTGGAGGAGAGATGTATGTGCCTCTAGCCAGGCAAAGGGGTGCTCCTCACTCTCCTAAGTCAGCTGAAGGGGACACAGCTGTCCTCATCACACAACTGCCATCACTGTTATGCCATAATCTATGAACCTCTTCCAGGCAGGAGCCAGTTTAAATCAATCTAAACCAATTCAGTCTCATCGAGGTAATAGTCATCTCCACACCACACTGCAGCTAAACCATCAAACCAATGTCAACAAACCCTATGGAACTAAATGTTGTGGTATAAGAGAAGTAGATATATTAGGTAATACTTATTGCTGCACAGATATTTGACTTGATTCCTTTCATACTAAAGATGAAACAAGAAGATTAGAAGCTAAGAATCGCTCCTGTGCTGATCACGAATGCAGAGCTGGAAACAAAGCAGAAATAGCTTGCCACCTGTACAGACACCGAATGGATGTTAGTATGACACATTTCCTAAAACTAGGCAAATCTGGCAAAGAAACCAGTCCATCATTTTCCTATGCTCATCAGAACCGAATGATATTTGTTCCAGCTAGAACTAAATGTTATTAAGGCACCATAGAATCACAGAATCAACCAGGTTGGAAAAGCCCTTTAAGCTCATCCAGTCCAACCATTCCCCACCACTGCCAAGGCCACCACTGCCCCGTGGCACTGAGGCCTCGTCTCCATGGGGTGTGAACACTTGCAGGGCCGGTGACTGCAGCCCTGCCCTGGGCAGCCTGTTCCAATGCCTGAGCACCCTCTGGGGCAGGAATTGTTCCTCAGCTCCAGTCTAATATGTGCTAGGGAAAAAAGCTCTCCAGTTGTGAGCCTTTTGCTCAGTCCATGCCTGACCCTCTACGCTGGAAGGCTTGAAGAAAGCAGCAGACACTAAGAGTTATTGTATATGATACTGTCTGCCCCGGACACTTGATACCAACGTCGTTCTAGCAGAAGGAGGTTTCAATTGTGTCAACAGACGTGCCATCTCAGATGTCCAGGATATTTGAGATAGCTTTGCAGGGCTAATGGACATGACACAGGATCTATGAGAGATTGCTGTCCTTTGGGAACAGCAGCTGGAAGCCATGTGGAGCATCCTAAAGGGCATGAACAACCTGAAATTAACAACACTTGTGGGGAACCCAAAGGCTCTTTCTCCTCATCCACCTCTCCTGGAGTCTGTAAAGGGAAGGAAAAGCTGATGGTTTCCCATTCCCTTTGTCAGCACATAGCCCAAATGGCTACCAAACTCTAGAGCAGGAATGCACAACTGAACCCACCCTACAAACATCGCACCTGTGATTCCTCTTCCAGGCCATATGCATTGCTCTCCCAGCACTCACAAGCAATAAGCCTCATGGTGGAGAGGTGACATGGAATCATAGAGTCATAGAACAGTTAGTGTTGGAAAGGACCTCAAGATCATCCAGTTCCAACCCCCCTGCCATGGGCAGGGACACCTCACACTAAATCATATCACCCAAGGCCTTCTCCAAATAACACCTGCAAGGTAGCTGCGTAGTCAAAGGCTATGTAATTCCTTCCAAATACATGTGGGGACGTGGATGCTCAAACACTGAACAACACTGGGCAGCTTGTGTCTCCATCTTCACACCTAGTGAGAGCTGAGGAGGCCACCAGACCATGCACTCTGACCTCCAGCATCCAGCATGCTATCCAACCTGATGCCTTCATGATTCCCAAACACTCAGTGCTGTCCTGCCCTCAGGAGATGAAGCTCTTCTGAGTCACAAAGCCTGAAATGTTCTAATGCTGAAGCTGCTGAACTGGCAGGATCTGGTTAGGGAGAAAGCTCTTGCTCCAGCAACCCTACCAGCCAAAGGGGGCTGATTTATGTGCCCTGGGCACCCGCGGATTAACAGTGCCCAAAACCCCCTAACAAACAACCTATTGTGAGTTCCCAAACTGAGACATGTTACATCAGACAGCTTGAAGTTCATCCTCAGGTCTTGGCTTCCTTTCTCCCAATAGGCAGCATCAAGTCCTAATAAAAGCTAATGCGAAAGCACATACCCTGCCAGGAAAACCCATGTGAAATACACCCACTGCATGGAGTATTTGCTACTACTTACCACAAAACGCTTCTATAACCAAGTTGTTCTTTCAAACAGACCTTCCAGCCCCTCTTACCTGGAGGGACAGGCAGACAGTTTTCCATTGGTCTCCCCAGAGTATGGATAGTACGAAGAGGGCTGTCACAGAGCAGATCAGCACAATCAAAGTCCCAATCTGGGGAGAAGAAGACGTAAGTCAGCTTCATCATTTCTGTGCCATCCATTTGACTCACAAGCTTATTTAAGCAGCTTGGACCGGATGAGTTTAAGATGTATGAGACTGACTGTACCAGTTAAGAGACAGATATCCAACGGGGCTAAAACCAGAACAACAGTGCTATTGATCGGCTTTTCTGCATGGCAAGATACTAAGTTAGGCACCCAACTATGTCACCTAAGGGCTCCCTCTATAGCCATTGGAGAATGAGAGGAATTTCCAGAGGCAATCAATTCCTGCTTGCTCTATGATGGAAGATGCCTCTCTATCTCTCTGCTGTTGTAGATGGAGTGTATAGGTGATCAGTTCACATTAAATCTCTAGCAGATAGATTATCTCAGCCTGGAGAAGAGAAGGATGCGTGGAGACCTCAGAGCAGCCTTCCAGTATCTGAAGCTATAGGGGCTATAAGGATGCTGGAGACGGGACTGTTCATTAGGGACTGTAGTGACAGGACAAAGGGTAACAGGCTCAAACTTAAACAGGGGAAGTTTAGATTGGATATAAGGAAGAAGTTCTTTACTGTGAGGGTGCTGAGGCACTGGAATGGGTTGCCCAGGGAGGTTGTGAATGCTCCATCCCTGGCTGTGTTCAAGGCCAGGTTGGACAGAGCCTTGGGTGCCGTGGTTTAGTGTGAGGTGTCCCTGTCCATGTCAGGGGGTTGGAACTGGATGATCTTAAGGTCCTTTCCAGCTGTAACTATTCTATAATTCTATGAAGATAGCTAAATTTAGAAGTGATGTATCCCACCTAAAAGAAACACCAATACAGCTTCCCTATGCTATGAGCTCCTTTACACAGGCCTCAACAACAGCAAACATTCCCGTAACAAAGAGATGGGAGTTCACTTCTGAACCAAAGAAGTGAGGATGTAGCTCAGTCTGTTCTTCGACTTCCTGCTCACTTTGGTACCAGCACAGTGGTCATGGCAGGCTCTGCTTGGTACATCATTTACCTGCTGGCAACTAAGTGCAAGTAGAAATTGCATCAAGGCCCCAGCCATTTTCAGGGGGATCCTACAGATCAACACCTGAATAATGATAGAATCTGACTGGTTTGGGTAGGAAGGGACCTTAAAGCTCATCCAGTTCCAACCCCCTGCCAAGGGCAGGGACCCCTTCCACTAGAGCAGCTTGCTCCAAGGCCCTGTGTCCAACCTGGCCTTGACCACTGCCAGGGATGGGGATGCACAACCTGTTCCAGCATCCCTAATCTGTTCCTGGTCTCTTCCACCCAAGGATGCAGCCTCAGGTTTTGTTATAAACTGTTCTACATCTCTCTGGTTCCTCTGGAAGCCAATTTTCAGTAGTAACATGACTGTACATCCATTACTTAAATGAAGAAACAGGATCAAGTACCTGCATGTTCAGCTATTGCCTTCCACTGCAAGATTTGCAATCACATTACATTTGCCCCAAATAGCCTCAAGAATTTCTTAAGGAAGGTGACTCTAATGCATCGTTTTGCAGCAACAGGTCTGAGGATTTGTTTCTGCACCATCAAAACTCCATGTGGCACTTCCCAAACCACCCGAAGACCAAAAGGCACAAGCTGCCAGGATGCCTTGGAAAATCCAGGTTTCTTCTTCCACTGCTGCTGGAGGCTGCTACGAAACTTATGCTGTGCTTCTCATGAACACTTTGCTTTCGTCTTCCTGTTACCACACGTAGAGGTGTCAAATATGGACAGCTTCACCCAAATGAGTCACTTCAGGCTCCTTTTGGAGTCAGTGGGGGGAAAAAGGTACTTTGAAATGTGATTCATCTCATCTTAATTTAGATGTCTATGACCAGTTGGCTGAGTTGCATCCTCAGAGTATTCATTTCCTTCCACTGACTGCAAAAGGAGTTCAGGTGATCAGCTCAGGTGGAGATATCACTCTTTGGGGTATCTAACGTCTCCTAAGATTAACCTCTTCCCTCTCTTGCTTCCATCCCATAATCTTCTTCATGCAGAGAAACACTCAATTGATTTAAAGCATGCATTGGAGTTATCAGAAACCCATGACTCTCCCCACCTTGTGACTCCAGTGTAGGTAGAGCTGCTGGCCTTCTGCAAGCAAACACAGCGCCAGGACCTGGGGAATCAAGCAGAGATTGTTTGTACCCTGGTAGGAGATGATGACCTGTGTTCAGTGAGCTACCCCTGGAATTACTTTTGCATTGGGAAGTCACTTCACACTAGTTCTTGCTGCACGATGTCAAGGCTGTTAGCAGGACAGGTATACGGAGATAAGTAAAAGTGCTTCTGAAAGCACATATCTGGGCTGCCCTGTAAGGTCAAAGCCCTTTCATGGGTAACACATAATTGGCTGCTTTGGGGTACACACTTTCGGTGACTTTTCTTTGTGAGTATTCTGAAAGAGGAGTGATGGCCAGGGTCAACTGCTATGGTATGAACCAATAAAGCATTAACTTTGCCTATTTCCTGTGCATTTGTTGTGATTAGAGGCATATCAACGACGGGAGAGAGGTCAGGGAGTAGAAAATGCCTCTAAAGCATCACAAAAACACAGAGCAGACAGCAAAAGAGGCAGCACTTCCAAAGTAATAGAAGGAAACCCAAGAGGCAGGCACATCTCAAGAGGGAAAACTGCATTGGAGATTAAAGGACTCTGGGGTTTGGTGGCTGGAATGTTCCTTCCCTCCCATAGCAAGTTGGAGTCATTGGGAAGGGTTCTTGAGGCATGGTGCGAACTCCAGCCAGGGCAAGGAGAAGCCTTGAAGACCAAGAAGCAAAGGATGAGGAAAGCCAGTCTGGTTTTAATGGAGCTTCTTCAAGTCTATAGGGATGCTGGGCATGGACTCTTCATTAGGGGCTGTAGTGACAGGACAAGGGGTAATGAGTTCAAACTGAAACAGGGGAAGTTTAGATTGGATATAAGGCAGAAGTTCTTTACTGTGAGGTGCTGAGGCACTGGAATGGGTTGCCCAACAAAGTTGTGAATGCTCCATCCCTGACGGTGTTCAAGGCCAGGTTGGACAGAGCCTTGGGTGCCATGGTTTAGTGTGAGGTGTCCCTGGCCATGGCAGGGGGTTGGAACTGGATGATCTTAAGCTCCTTTCCAACCCAAACCATTCTATGATTCTAAGTTGTCCCAGACCTAAGCAACCAATGAACCTGGTGATGAATTCTACCAGGAGAAGTACTTTGCTGCTGTGAAAACACACAGGTCTATGTGCAGTCGTATGAGTGCTTGGGGTGAGCTTCCCCACCACTGTAAGGGACAATCTGGGGACCAGTATCACCAGATATCAGTGCTTAAAGTATCTGTTAGGAGGTGTCAGTAGGCAGCAGTAGGCATTAGCATCAGTTAGAAGGATCATTTAAGATGCAGACTGTAGCACAGTGGGATTGTATGAAAACAGGACATACAGATTTAGGGAAAGAGGCTCTTCTCTCCCAAAATACAACGACAAAGGAATGCAAGCTGTTTCCCATCCAGCTACAAACACAGTCTTTTCAGGATCATGCTGATTTGAAACAAGCTATAAGCTCAGCAGAGAATACAGATCAGCTTTTAAGTGCTTCTTGACACATTAGCCTCCTTTAATCGAACCCTACACCCAGTACATGACGAGTAACCATGGGAGCAGCTCAGAGAGAACTGAATTACTGCTAAAGATCTTAAGCCAGCCCCATTTAAATAAGCTGTTTCAGAAAAGGGAAGAAAAAAGACACTTTGCCCCTTTTCTGCAAGCAATGTTATACAAAGCCCAACGGTCCTTGCCTAAGGTACAGCCAAACACTTATTTCACAGGCCATGTCCAGCTAGACTCTGCCCTGCAACTTCAGTATGAATGATGCATCACCTCTGGGAATGCCACAGGAGGCATTTTTGTGGATGGAAACAACATCTCATTGTCACTTAGAAGAAGAATAATCACCAGGTTTCACCCTCAGAGGGTGAAGAAGGAACTCTTGCAGTTGCACCTCTGGTCACTGTAGGAGAACGCATCCTTACGGACCAGTTTGCTGATGTGATGTGCACTGCTGAAGTTTAACACCTCAAGCCATGCTCCCTTAGCTTCATCCTGCTCCTCAAAAGCTGCCTCAGGACCTGCCCACCCACTCTTCCACAAAGAGCAGCTCCTTTAGCAGTGTCCCACATGTTTGCACCTAGACAGGACTTCCTCAGGCAAAAGGACAACCGGCACCAGCAGGTCTGCCACCTTCAAACTGCTCCATATATATCCTGGGAGTGTCTAATTCACATACACAGACATGTGGGCTTAGGTGACCAGCATGTTTCTGATTAGTACTGCTGAGGCTAGAGCCAAGGTCCCATCATCTCCTTCAGTCTTACATCCTCCAACACTTGAATTCTTCTCTTGTTTAGTTTGAGATGTGAAAGTGTCTCCCATCCATCATCTACCTGCAAAGTGGTACTTAAGGGATGCTTCCCAGTGGCAAGAGAGATGGACTTGCTGCAAGGATTGCACCTCTGCCACCCTTTTTCTGAGTGGATGCACTGACCACAAGTTCCTCCTGCCAAAGGATGGACAATAGATGCTTAAATCCACTCTAATTCAGCACAGGAATGACCTTGTACTTATTTCAGTGCTGCTGGGGAGGCTCAGGCAGCCTCTGAACCACCACAAGGACACAGAGACAGGCATTCAGGCATTCAGACACTCAGCTCACCTAAAATACCTGCTCACTTTGATGGCCATAACAAGTATTCAGGTCCTTACATTCACCTACTGGCAAACATGCAGCACCTCAGAACTTGGCTGGTACCCTACACTGTTAGGGGTGGATGTTTGAGATCACTTTTTGGACCCCAAGGCTGATGTACTGTGTGAGTTCTGTCTTAGTCTATGAACGGAGAGGCCACAACGCATCAGAACCTCTTTACTCTGTACAGTGACAAGTCACCTCCCCAAAACCCTTAGGACAAACACGGTTGAACTGCAGAGAGGGAAATATTATCTGTTAGTGTTCGAAAGACTGAGCAAGATTTTTCTCCTCCACTGAGCACGAATGCTCCCACAATTAGACACCCTCAGCTCTAATGGGGATGAGAAAATTGTCTTAGGGAGTGATAACAGTTGAATTAATTCAAACTGATTGTCTGAATGAATTACAGTGATGCCTGTGGACAGGGAGCATCTTTGAGCAGGGTTTTGTGCAGCATTTCATTCAGCTGCTGGTGGCCAGTGGGAAGAAGAGTGTTTGCTTCAATGGTTCACAATAAGATCCTGCAAGCAGGCTTGCTCCGGTTGGGAGCTATCATTAAGGATGGGTATGGTGCTCACAGACAAAACCAGGCCAGGCACTGGCTGCTATAAAAACCTTTCTGCTCCAACAAGGGCATCAGTGCTTGGTTTTCTGATGTGATGGGTTGCTGATGTAAAACACCGCACCTGGGTGAACGCCTGCAGCATATGTAAGGAAGTCTCCATTCAGCAGTTCAACCAGATCATGGGAGGTAATTCATCACTGGGGTAAGCTATTTGGCCATCAGTTGTCTGAGGTGTGTAAGGGTGATTCAGCTACCCTATAGTACCCACACTGACAGGGTTATGAGACGTGGAAGGGCCCTGTGAGGCTCTTAGTGTTCTGCTGGGTGGTTCATCAAAGGCTGCAGATGAAAGGCCAGATGCTGTGACAGGGAAGCTCTGCAGTGATGGAGATGTGATCCTTGGTAGAGCCCTTCCATGAAAGGAGCCCTGCCGGGATGAGCACTGCTGAGCCACAGTTGCCATCACAAGACCCTGCATGCAGGAATGGGACCATCGTGTGACCCTGCTTGTTTTGAGAGAGTGGAAGCACCAGTGGTGGCAGTGATTGACAGAGGGGAGACTGAGCTGAGCTCTTAGGCAGAAGCTCTTCCCTGGGAGGGTGCTGAGGCGCTGGCACAGGGTGCCCAGAGAAGCTGTGGCTGCCCCATCCCTGGCAGTGTTCAAGGCCAGGTTGGACACAGGGGCTTGGAGCAAGCTGCTCTAGTGGAAGGGGTCCCTGCCCGTGGCACAGGGTTGGAGCTGGAGGAGCTTTAAGGTCCCTTCAATCCTAAAGCATTCTATAATTCCATGGTCACTTTCCTTACACCCTTTTCCTTCAAGACCTAATCCTATTTAGGTAACAGCCCTGACAGCGTGAGGTCTCACATCTCCCAGTGCTCACTGCTCAAAACAGATGCATGCAGCAGTCTTGTCAAATGAGACACAGTGACAGTGGGATGCAATGAAGCAGGGCAAGGGCCCTTAGAAATACCCATCTTTAGGTGGGTCACTTAACAGCTCCATGAAAGCAAGGAGCAAATGGACCCTCATTGCAGGGGCTGTCCCTAGAGCAGGGGAACCTCTGACGTGTTTCTCTTGTAGGACTTGTCTGGTAGCATCCAGGTTACTCCTATTTCTTCAGGTTTATCCACGCTCACCCTCCTGAGGAAGGCAAATATTGTTATCCTCAATAGACAGAACTGAGCTGCTGGGATGGGGAGAAGGATGTGTCTACACATCCTTCAGTCAGTCGGACTGAGACTGAACCAAACCACGTAGGACACCAATTTCACCTCGTATTTTCCTTTGCCCATCACCTGCCCTGATAGCTCGTAGCCTCACATTCATGCTGCCAAAGACATGAAACCCCTCTAAGAAAATCTACTGCTTGGGTGCTCTTTGGTCTTTGGATCCAGTCAGAGCACGACCAAGCTGACACACCATCCCCAGGGATCTTCAGGCTCCTCAAGCCAAGAAAGCCCTTTAAAGCTCATGCTCATTTCTAGCCACGATGGGTTAGTCTGATCCTGAGGTTGACTCCAGATCCACAGCCTGCTGAGGTTAGGATCCCAGAGGTATCCATATCAAGTGGGCCAAAGCTCCCAGTTGCCCAAAGTATCATTGCAACCACCAAACCACCCATAGTACTCCATGGTCAATGGGAAAGCCACACAGGATTTGCTGAATAGCAGATATTGAGCCCTAGAGTCACACAGTCCTTGTAATCAAATGCTGTTGTTTGTCCTGCTCAGAGCACTGTTAGTGCACAGCTTTCAGGATGCTATTGATCACTGTGGGCATGGCCACACTGTCCTATTTATCACTTTGGGGTTTTGATTGCTAGCACTAGAATAAAAACCACTGTTTATTCGTCCCCCAGCAGGGACAAAGGACCCCAGGAACCTATTGTGTTAGGGCACTGCATGCACAAAGCACAGAGAGATTCCCTGCCGTGAGCAATTTACAGATGGCCTCTATGATGACACATGAGGGAGCAGGTAAGAACAGCAGGAATCGATGATAAAAGCTGGTTGTCAGTCACAAGGGTGAGTCAAAGCCATAACCTCACCCTCAGCACCGAGCATTTCAAAGTGGAAGTTGGAGCAGGGATGAGACTGAACGTGGACTCCAGTCCCTGCAGTTAAAGTGATTACTTAACCTGTAGCTATGGACGAAGAAAGCAGAAACACAGATCATAGAATCATAGGATCATAGAGTGGTTTGTGTTGGAAAGGACCTTAAGATCATTCAGTTCCAACCCCCTGCCACGGGCAGGGACATCTGTCTTTATTTGGGAGAGTTCCTCATAAAGGAAAGGACAGAGAAGAATGATGAGTAGCTAGAACTTTTAGCTGCCTTGGTGTGTTTCCATAAAGTATGTTTCCATAAGTAGGATTCCATACAGTATGTTTCCATAAGTAAGCAAAGCAGGGAGCAGATCAGAAGTCCAGAGAAAATGGCACAGGATTTGGAAAAGTGAAGATCTCAGGAATATTGCCTCTGTAGGAAGAGACTCACGCTATGGAAATAGCGTTTCTGTTGCCTCTATCTGAAGAGAAGCCCTCCAGCAAAGCTGAGTGAGTCAAGGCAGCTTCACTGACAATGTTCCCCTCTTCTAATGAGCTTCTTCATTCAGGATTAGAGGAATAACTCAGCTTTGATGACACAGCATCACTACGTGACTCACAGCCCCATACTTCCCTGCTGCTTCCCCTATGCCTAAATCCAGCCACTGCAGTCCCAGCTCTCCTTGGGTCCAAGGAGAGATTGGACACACTCATTGAAGGGAAATCATAGGGAGAAAACTACACCTGGTTTAGAGACCCCTGGGCTGAAATTGGTCATCTGTAAGGGGACATGGGGAGAAAGAACTGTTTAACACTTACTGTGCTCCAAATCTTCCATAGATACCCACTGTCTGTGGGGCTAGGTTGAGCGTTGGTCTGAAACATTAAAGCCATCCTTATGTCTACTTTTTAGGACCACAAATCACAGTCAGCTTAGAAGGAGCATCACTTACCAATAACAGCGTGATGTACGTGAACAAGAGTGCAGCCACACTCAGGAGAACAAGAGACCAGAGGAACCAGAAGCCCAGGGCCTCGTAGTTATACCTAAAGAGCAATGAAATATTACAGTAGAGGTTTGTGTTTAGCACATGGAGAGGAACAACAGCCCTGTTCCTTGAAATGTGACATTTTCAAAGCAATAAGACAAAGAAGGAAGGAGGAATAACTTACCCTATAACATGCAAAAAGGGTTAAGACCCTCCTTCCCCAAATCCATAACTGCATTAACCACCTGACTAATACCCCAATGTGTTGGGGTGGTAAAATACAGGACCGAGTGGATGGGCTTGCTCCAGAGAGCTCCCAGTCTGGCACAGCACCTTGCTGCAGACAAGGCAGCCTGGGGGAACAGGAAGATGACATGGCTCAGGCCAACAACACATCTTACTGCCTGTGGTTGTGTAAGGCATCATAACAGGAGGGAGACCTGAAGCAGAAAACACCAGAAAGCTGGATGGATGCAGAGGGATTGCCCAAGGAAGAGAGAGGGAACCTTTACTTTCACCCAAAGGCTCAATAAGGATGAATACCATTACCACACCTTTCCTCCCCATACTATTTGAGCTGGTTTAATTCCAGGGGCCAGATTTGCATAACTGTTGCCTACGTACTGCAGAAGGAGAGGATTTGCATAAATCACTGCTGGTGATTCCTTACTTTTGAGCCTGGGAACACACAATTCTCTTTCTGTAGATAGCTGGCTCAATGCCTCTGATGCCAACCACTACATATCCTCAGAGGAAAGAGCAGGAGGGGAAAAGACTCGGAGAAGGAAAGGAAAGAGGTATTTAATCCACTCACAATTTCCGTGATGATGATTCTCTCCTTTCTCCCAAATCCCCACTTAGAGCCAAGCAAAAGGCAGAGCCTCAGCACCTCTGAAGTCATTGACCACTCAATGTGGATGCTGTAACCAAGAGCTTAAGGAGCCAAATCTTTGGCTCATGGCTGAAGCTGCTGGGGAGGCTGCCCGTCGCTTCCCAGCCACCCAAGAGACCTGCCCAAGGGGTGAGAGAGAGGAGAACAAGGTGGTACTCACCAGTCAAAGTTATTGTAGTCGTTTTTCGCTTCCCCACACATGTACAGAAAGACCAGAGAGAAAAAGAAAGCTCCAACAAGCAATGGGAAAAACATGCGTTCCCGCTGGAGAGGGAGAGGAAGGACAAGTGGTCAGAGCCTTGCCTGCCCCGAAGCAATCAGAACATGTTGTAGATACTGATAGGGTGCTCTTAAAACACGTGGGTTGGTGTTGGATGTCCCCAAGCAGATACGGAGAGGAATTCCCTCCCTGTCCCTTGCGACCAGGGGAATGTCCTCAAAAGCATACTGTGCACTATTTACTTTCAGGGGAAGCAGATCTCATGCCTTCACAAAGGAACAGGGGTTTAAGCACCTCACATGGGAGGGAATTGCACCATGCAGCAGCCCTCTTTGCAATTCTTACTGCACACCCATCCTAAATATTATGTGTTTCTTTTGATCCTATGGCTTTGAGATGTTGGGAGGGTTTGGTCCTTTCCTTTCTTACAGCTCTGTGGTGGCACAGAGAAACTGAGCTTGCCACAGAAACACAGCAATACATAGAATCATAGAATGATCCAAGCACTTAGAGCAGAATCTAACATCTAGCACCCAACAGGTCTCATTGGGCTCCAAACGATGCTGGACAGGGATGCCTTTGGCCCACAACATCAAGCACTTGTCGGCTTGGCTTGGCCTGTCCCTAACACAGAAATCTGTGCTGGTTTTGAGCTAATTTACCCTCTTGCAGCAGCATTGCCCAGGCTCAGCCCTGCTGCGCTGGTACCGCTTCCACTGGCAGCTGTAGAAACCAGCCAGGCAGGAGACGAAGGGCTGATGCTCATAGCGCTGCAGCAAGCGCTGGCGAACCACCTTCAGCTTCCCAAACTTGAGCTTCTTCAAGCTGCTGGAACCGGTCTCCATCTGAGCAGCTTTATCTCATCTTCCTCCTGGAACAAGACCATGGCATTATGGGGATAACCCTCCTTTCATCAGCTTTTGTATCAGCAAACAAGGAGGAAGTTTCCTCAAGAGGATGCTGAGACCAGCAGGAAAAGGTGCTGGGGAATCTCCCCCTAACTTCACAGACCTGAGATGTCTAAGCAAAGAGCATGGGCTTTCCAAGTCCCCTCAGCAGTCTGTGCTGCTCCTGGTAGTAACTTAGGTGCTCTGAACCATAGAATCCTAGAACCATAGAATGTTTGGGATGGAAGGGACCTTAGAGATCATCTAGTTCCATTCCCACTGCCATGGGCAGGGACACCTCTGCCTCCTTTTGACTATACAGAGAGCTCTGGGTAACGAAATCACTAACTTAAGCACTCCATGCAAATTCTCAACTAATGGTAGATGAGCCTGAGCCTAGGCATAGCCATAAGAATCAATTCAATGTCACTGTGACCTGTCTACAACCTGCTATCAGTTTAACTAGCTTGTGTAGGAAAGGGACTAAAACCTTCCAGGTACACAGCTCTTATCCTGGCAAAACTACACCACTGCATGGTCTGATCCCTTCAGAACAGTTTCCTGACTGGAATAGCTTTATGTGGCACGGGTTTTCAGGGGTAGAAAGAGAAGCAGTAAAGATGCACACAAACAGGATCTGCACACAAACAGGGTCTCTTCATAATGAAGCATTTAAAGGAATAACCTGGTGGTAAACTGCAACCAATGTAGTTAACAGTGAAGCAAACAGCACAGGGGTTTGTGCTATCAAGGAGGCCTTTGCCCAGCAGGGCACTACAAATACTGCAAGGACAGATTTAGAAGCAAAAAGCCCTGTGTGTCCAAGAAGCACCATTATCCAGCACTCTAATACAGAGATAACCAGAGATGTTTTCTGTTGCATTATAAAGTATCCTTGAGTCTATACCAACCACGACATGATTTAGCGTTAAGGTGTCCCTGCCCATGCCAACTGGATGATCTTAAGGTCCTTTCCAACCCAAACCATTCTATGATTCTATATTCAAACCCAAGCCTGTTTGCTGCCAAGTCCCAGCTTAAGACCCCCGGTTTCCCTGATTTATCTGATAACAGTCGTTTAAGGACAAGACTGAACTGTTTGCTGCACTATATGCATGGATGAAAGGCACACATAAATAATTTGTAAGTCAGAGACCAGTGTATCTTTAAATGGGTAAATCCTTGCTCATTGATGCTTCCAAAAATCCCAGCTCAGTTTGCAGAAAGCACAAGCAAAACAGAGCCGTAAGGAGCAAGTTAAAACTGAAATGATGCATCCCTAAAGCCCTTCCCAAATGTCCCAGCCTGCTGGCAGCTGGAGTGCAAGGATAAAGGATGGAAGTGAGACAAAAGGGAGTTCAGTTTGGACCACTATGAATTAAGCAGCGCCCAAGTGCGCCATGCCCCGAATGCCTTCCTGAGACAGACGTGTCTCCCCATCCAGCAAAGTCACAGGGAGTCGCACCCTCTTGGCTACAGTGGGGTCAAGCCACCCCTAGCAGCTCAGCAGTATCGGATCCTGGCACCAGCAGGTCACCCCATAGTGAAAAATTGATGCCAATCTCATGTGGCAAGGTGCGATCCTGCTCTTGGATTACCCAGGGCACAGATGGGGGACGTGGGCATTATGCCATTGGCAAGTGGTGTACATGACATGTATATATGATCCTGCTGTCCCCGTCAGCTGGCATAAACCCTGCAGTTACCAAGTGACCCCAGCCACCTCTTTTGAACACATTTGAACCTTCAGAGCTCTCACCAAGCCATGCCATGGGGTTGCAGTATTTGTTACCTCTTACAAGGATCCCTAAGCTATGTGTTTAGTTCCCCTATCACCAAACCACAGCACCTTTTGCCCAACCCTCCTCCTTCAGCGACAGGAATTCAGGGCACTGGACCAAACCCAACAGTTTTGCTGGCAAAGGGCCATGAGGTTTGTTACTCACATTCCTGGTGTGGTCAATATTTACCTATGAGTACACAGAATTGGACAGGGAAACAGAGATTACAGAGACCTCCAAACACTGTCAGCTCCATCTGGCTGGCTACAGCTGCACATTAAGTGTTAAATCTAAGTGTTATCTATCCTGCAGTGATGGAGATCCCACCAGCCCCAAAGACAGGCTAATCCAGTCCTAACTAGCTTACTGTTAAGAGCTGGGGGGTTTCCCCCCCATGCCTAGTCTCCCATTGTACATCTTAAGCACATTATTTCATGCCCTGCTCATGGTGGATGTAGGGAACAGCTTAAACTTTTCCTCCCTTACATATTTCACATACTTACATTTGGGCATCTCCCCTTAAGCCTTCTCTAGCCTGAACAACCTCACCTTCTGGGGTCTTTCTTTGTCGTTCATGTTTTCCTCTCCCCAGATATCAACAGTCACCTGCTATTTGGGATTTTCCTTGCATTTCCCATGGGGTTTGGCGCACGGTAGCGGTACTAGGATGGGGTGAACAAGCCACAGCCTCTCCAGGCAGACCTGTTCACCCATAGCACAGGCTACTCAATACCTGGAGCATCCAGTGTGTCTCAGGTATCGAACACCATCCTGTCTCATCTTCTGAATGCTTAATTCACCCTGGACTCACTCCCTGCAGCAAGGGAACGGTGTTTTCAGCTTTAAGCATCACAGCATTATGCATCAGGGACAGCTCACCAAATATTTGGGCTACTTCACTCTTCCTAAGAGTGCAGCTCTGCAGGGACCTACAATGCATTTACACTGTGCCGTTGCTGGTATCAGCAAATGCTCCAGTGGCAACTCCAGAAGAAATCCCTCGTGGAGGTGACAAGTCCCATGTGAGGGTAAGGAAGGGAAGACAAAGACAAGGACAGCCAGAAACATCCTTCTCAGCTCAAAATGCACTCAGAGCTCCAAGCACTCCTTTCTCCTCTTCATCTGTGCCTTTCCACACAGGCATCACTCCTTCCCTTTTACCTTCACATCTTCTCCTGGCTTCCTTCCTTCAGGTGCACCTAATTCTGTTTAACTTAATGCAAGCTCCCTCCTTACATCTGAGCCACCCTGCAGGCTCTCCATGAGCCTCCATCCCATGGTTTCACCCTTGCTCACAAAGCACCACCCTGCTGCTACAGCTGTGATGGGGCATTCAAAAGCCATAACAACATCCCTACTAGTATCTGAATCTGCAATGCTTCAGACTACATCAAACACTGCAACATTTGAGCTCACAGGCATCTGATCCTAACAGAGGTAATATCCCAACATCTGGACCCAACAACCACCTAAAGGGGTGAACAATACCACAACATATGGAGGATGCAGAGGCCAAAAGCCAGATCTGCGTTAGGATCTGGAGCACTTCAGCCAGTGCCTGGATGTAGCAAGAGACCTGACAGTGCTTGCATCCAGGTCTGAAGCAGTGCTGCTAAGATGCAATGCTTCCTCATCAGGCAAAAGTAAATGGATAGAGGAGGGAAACACAAACATGAACCCATTCACTGGGAAAGCCACGGGAGCAAAGAGCAAGCAGGAAAACACGAATCAGGAGAGCAAAGTTTAGGAGTCCTTGGCAAGTGAGCCATGAAAGCAGTAACGTGTGTATGTTTTTCAGCTCCATAAACCCAAGAGCCCTGAGGTCTTCCCCTTGCAGAGACTTTGCTTGCTCGCAGATAAGAGTCCCTGTAATCACAGGCACTTGCACAGGGCTGCTCATTTCCAACTGCTTGACAGAGAGTGAGGAAAAGCATGAGAAATAGCCCAGAGGGATGATGGAGGAAAGAGAAGGAGGGAAAAAGCAGGATACATTCAGCCACACAGCCTGAAATCAGAAGGTGCTGCAAGAGGAGCTCGATGGAGAGGCCAGCGTACAAGCAAGGAGCAAACCCCTTGTCTTTCTTGGTGCTTTAGAGCTGGGGCATTCACCCTTAAGGGCTTAAACAGGAACAGCAGCCAGATTTGGCATTGTCCTATAGCTTTTTCCTTGGGGTTTTGAGGTATTTCTTTCCTTTCCCCTGCATCTACTCAGCTTTCTCCAACACAGCATCCTACAATGTATGGGCAGTTGGGTGCAGGGACCTTTCCAGGTGTTGCAAACACCCTTCACAGTGTTCACTGCAAGGAGAGAGTTGGAAAAACCATTACATGGGTACCAGAAGACATAGAATCATAGAATAGTTTGGGTTGGAAAGGACCTTAAGATCATCCAGTGCCAACCCCCCTGCCATGGGCAGGGACACCTCTTACCAAACCATGGCACCCAAGGCTCTGTCCAACCTGGTCTTGAACACTGCCAGGGATGGAGCATTCACAACCTCCCTGGGCAACCCATTCCAGTGCCTCAGCACCCTCACAGTAAAGAACTTCTTCCTTATATCCAATCTAAACTCCCCCTGTTTCAGTTTGAACCCATCACCCCTTGTCCTATCACTCCAGTCCCTAATGAAGAGTCCCTCCCCAGCATCCCTATAGGCCCCCTTCAGACACTGGAAGTTGCTCTGAGGTCTCCATGCAGCTTCTCTTCTCCAGGCTGAACAGCCCCAACGTTCGTGAGGGATGTGGAGATGGTCATTCCTCAGTACCTGAGCATGGGCAGCTTGCCCTGAGCACCTTGATGGTGTGGGAAAGCAGCAGATGGGAGTGATGTCCACTTTGCCCATAGAGCCATTTCCAAGGTATCTGGAGAGAAAGCAGTGCTTGGTGGAAGCGGTACCTTGAGCCCGAGTTGAGCCTCTCCAGCACCTGCAGCTCTCTTGCATGGACATCGCTGGTGCCATCCCACCTCTTTGTGAGGCATCGTTTCCTGCCCTTCCACCTTGGAGTCTTCCACAGCATCACACCAGGAGATGTAAAGGAGCAGAATCAATCTCTTGGCAAGCTGCTGGTTGATCACCATCACCACGAGCTGCACGCAGATCTTGCCACTGGCCAGAAAAGCTCAACAAAGAGCATCCCTTAACCCTGCATTTCCACTCTATAGAGCCTGCATAAAGCTCTGGATCACAGCCTTGGACCTCTTA